TAGAAGTGTGGTCCTGTTAGCAGAGTGGTTCTGTTAGCAGTGTGATTCTGTTAGCAGTAGCTTCTGTTAGCAGTGTGGTCCTGTTAGCAGTGTGGTCCTGTGTTGTCTTCATGGACTGCCTACAGTCCAGGACAAACACGAGACAGCACACTGTCAGGGGAACTGCTCACATTTAGAGCCAATTTACGTCATTTGTAAAAATAAAAGTGGGCTAATTGAGTAGAAAAGTCTCGGGGCAATGTCTGGTGACGCTAACTGATGTATAACTGAGTTCTAACTGCTCTGTTTCTTCTCTGCCTGATAGAGCTTTAATCAGAACAGTGAACTGTGCTTACAGACGTGACTTGTGGAACAGAGCCAGACCAGTTTTTAATGTAGAGGCCCCCGAGGGCCCGAAGATCATGCCCACGGCGTTCAGTCTTGTCCTCTGAGCTCAGACTTCTTCTGTTTGCATCATCGTGAATAAAATATGTGTTTATGAAAGTTTCATTTCATCTTTATTTAGATTTACGTTCAAACTTTGTCAGAACTAAGCTCGAATGACCCAAAACAAAAGAGGAGCAAGAAGAATAAAAAGGAACGTAAAAAACGGTTTTGTCACCGTAAAAGAACCTAAAAACAACTTTTTCACGAGTCAGACCAGAATCACAAGACAAACCCCCGACAGACCTCGTTTAACGTCATAGTTCTTTATTCTTTATTCTAAAATTTAATAATTTAATCAATATTTCAAATAATTACTGTAATCATACAGAAATACATCTGCTTTAATGTCTCAATGCTTTTTTTGGCCGTGTTCGGGTTTTATAAAGTTAAAATGAAGTAAATATTTTACTTTCAACAGATTACGTAATAAATGGGCTGGTGTGTTTTTATATGCACATTTAAAAACGTGTGTTTTCCATAAATTATGATAAGAAGTCCAGTTAACACTGACACACAGCTGTGGCTGCTCCGCTCAGCGTGACCCCCTCCTGAAACAAACCAGTTTCTGTCTGACGAGTCATTCACATCTGACCCCCCCCACACACACACACACACACACACTTTAACACCCCAAAATGCCCCCCAGCATCCTGCCAGCCTTCATGCCTCACATTCCTCCCGCAGTGACGCTTCGGTGGAAACAAATCTCAGAAACTCTTTTTCAGGCTCACATGATGCGTTCACTGACTCCCATCCAGCCCTGATCATTTTATTTTTCCTGCCCCCCCCACCCCCCCAGGATGACAAAAGCACCATTTAACAACAGATGTCTGACAATAAAAACTAAAGGTTTGGTTTGTGGAGTTTATTAACAGACCGTTTACATGAATCTGAGGTGGTCCGTTAGAGAAACGGACCTTCAGACCTGTTGGACCTGTCCGGT